GAAGTCACAATACGCTTCCAAAATCGATCATCCAATGGATTTTCCAACAATTGACGGCAGACTTCAACACGACGCTTGGCTTGCGCTTCGGTCAACTGGTGTGGATCCTGGCGAGGCTTCTTGTGCACAAAATCCATTTGACGCAGGTGATTGAGCACAGTCTGATGGGACGAGACTGCAAGAACCGACGCCAATTCACGGCTGCTCGACGAAGGCTCATCTTCCAAGGCTGCCCACAGATCTTCGTTGTTCAACGTTGATGGCCGGCCGGAACGTGGTTGATCTTCGAGACTAAGGTCACCGGAATCGAATCGTTTGTACCATCGGGAAACAGTTGTGTAGTGGACGGTTCCTTCGCCTTCAGCATCAAAAATCTCTTTCACAGCATCTCTAGTCGAAAGTCGTCGCTTCCAACAATGGCGTATCAAGACTTGAAGCTCGATTTTGTCCAATGTCATCTGAAACTTTGAGGATAAAGATGAACCCGGAACACAAAAACAACAAAAATTGTGCATGAAACACACAATAAATTAACAAAAATGAGCATAAAAATAAACTTTTTCGCAAGTGGTGCAGAACTTTTTGACCAACCTAAGCAGTATTATGTAATACCCAGCTGGTGTGAGAGACACACGGTCGGAAATCAAGGGAACGCGGGAGTCAGCAGGGATTTTTTGCTAGTTTCAAAGTCGCGGAAACATTTCGAACTTTAAATTCAGTCATTTCAACATGAACTTCATTCTGAAAAGCTGGAAACACAAATTCCTATGATGTAAGAATTGACTTCAAAATACTGAAGAATCATACACAGAATTCTTACCATCCGTATTGCCCACCTCATCTTGAACATAAGCTCACCCCCAGGTTGAAACGAGCATAAAACCCCCTTTTGACTTTCGTATCTTCTAAAACACAATTAATTGAAAATCTAGTGCAGTGCATTTTGTAAGACATGCTCCGTCCCGCTCGTCTAGGCTAAAAGAAGCATCTCTTACAGTGCATGGGACACACATGGTACATGGCCAACGACTTCCAGATGTACCTCGTCTCCCCGTTGATCATCCTCCCTCTCTTCTTCTTCCCGGCCGTCGGTTAGTGGACTTCACAGTCCTCAAAGTTCCTTGGAGAAACACAAAAGCGAAAAATTTATCAGAAACGAAATTCTCCCATAGGCATGGGATTTGCTGGTCTCCTTCTCGCCGGGTCTATCACAGTCCCAGCCGTCGTCCTAATCGCCAACGACATCGGAGGGACATCCACTTACCAAGATAGAATCAAGTGAGCACCTCTATGATCAAAGTACAGTATACTTTGGACTTAGATTTGTAACGACAGCTTGATGATGATGATGCTAAAACATCGATGAATTTTTCAAAGAGGCTTTTGATCGCGGAGAAGCATCCACACTTTCATCTTCCTACTTTATTCCAGCCCCGATGACGGGAGAATGTTCATGAAATACTACGTGAAACCATGGACACGATTCGGACCGTACCTCATCGGTCTCGTTCTAGGGTATATATTGCATCGAATCAAAGGGAAGAATATAAAACTTTCTAAGGTAACAGGGAAGGATCTTCCTACGGTAAGTCACTGCGATTCTTAGCTTAATTTCGTTTAGCTCACATAAACAATTTCCATTAATTAGGTTGTGGTGCTCGCTGGCTGGTGCGCAGCGATAGCGACTAACATGGCAGTCATCTATGGTCTGGAATACTATATGAAACCATTGTCACCGGCGATGCCGAGAGCGGCTCAGGTCATCTACGTCGCTGTGCATAGGGTCGCCTGGTCCGTCGGGTTGGCATGGGTCGTTTTTGCCTGCCACATTGGGGCTGGAGGTAAGATTCCGCGATTTGACTTTTTTTTGCTACTGTCGTTAGGTTTCATGCGAACGATGGTTGTGGAAAAAAATTCGATGATAACTGATGGCATCAAGGTGCGTGGGTACGTGGGTAAAAGAAATAAAAACCAAGAAAATCGGTATCTTGTGGTAAAGCGTGACACGCAAACGAATAAATAGAAGTGAAAGTACCCAAAACCGGAGAAGATTCCCAATCAGGATTGCTTCTTAACCAAGAAGAATTTTATCCAAGTCTCTGTCTATTTAATCCGGTCAAAGAAAATGTTAAGGATGCATTTATTGAACCAAGAATCATTTCCGTACTGGTAAATACCTTTACCATAGGTAAAAATAATTTTTTTTACGAAAAAAATCATAATTTTTCAGTGCTTTAGTTAATATCTGAAAGACTTCCAGGTCCAGTGAATACTCTGCTTAGCTGGAAAGCCTTCGTACCTCTCGGCCGACTCACCTATAGCGCATACCTCGTCCACGTTCTGGTTGCGGGCTGGTACCAGTTCGGGATAGATTCTTCCGTCTACGTCGACCATGAGACTCAGGTTCGGGAAAGATTTCGTACAATTCAAGTTCCTGGGTTCAGTGTTTGATTCAAGATGCATTTTCAGGTGATAGTATTCTTGTCCACACTGATCCTGACTCACTTCGTGGCCGTCATCTTCTCTTTGACGTTCGAGATACCTGTTCTGGGACTCGAGAAGATCTTTTGTGGACTCATCTTTGGAGAGGGTGAGTTTTTTTCCTTTCCACTTCGGCTTTTGGAAGAATATTATCGCCAAAAGAGTGTGGCTTTTTCTTTCAGGAAACATGCCAGGCCATAATAACTTCCCGGTAGCTATTAAACCCCACAGTATGATGGAAGGTGAAAAAGGAAACGATTTTTCAAAGGGAAAGCTAGAAGTACTCGACCTCAATCTTGCTTCTCCAGAGACTGGCATTCTGAAAGGAGACATAATAGTGCACGACGTCTCTTGGGAAAAGCCAAAGTACGGCGGCTTAGAGAACCCTGCATTCATCCCCGACACGAAACAGAAACTCGGCTACGACGAATCATTGGACGGTCAAAGTCAGCACAAATCTCTCTCATCCTTCTCTCACTCTACCCCAAGAGACTCCTCAGAGGAAACCCGAAAGGCAACCGGAGAATCAACTTCCGAAGGAGAGCATTCAGACCAAGGAAACAAGTCATCCTCTCCTCACTCCAGCCCCAGAGGATCCTCAGACGAGACCATGGAAGTCAATGGCCAACGAACCTCGCAGTCCTCACAGGATGAAGACGAAATCAAGCCAGAGCCGGCAATGGAGAAGTTCTGATAAGAGGCTGACAAAAACACCCCAGAGGATCCTCAGACGAGACCATGGAAGTCAATGGCCAACGAACCTCGCAGTTCTCACAGGATGAAGACGAAATCAAGCCAGAGCCGGCAACGGACAAGTTCTGATAAGAGGCTGACAAAAACAAAAAAATTATTTTTCTCAATGTGATACACATACGTATTAAATCCATCAATATCTCGATCATTCCTTTCTCATTCCTACGGCAATCGGAATCTTCATTTTAAAGCATCGTTAGCCATCTCTGGATTAGATACTCCTCCCCCTGGTTAGAGAAACCATCCATGGTCGCATTCTTCATCTCTTGCATTCGAGGCATTTCATCATTGAAGCGTCCTGACAACTCTTGATGAGGTAGATATGATTCTACGTCAATTCATCGCGCTCAATTCATCGCAGCCCAATTCATCGCGCTCAATTCATCGCAAGCCAAACTCATCGCAGGTCATATTCATCGCAAACCATTTTCCATGCTATGATAAAAGAACTAATTTTTGTTTCAGCATGAAAATTTCGCTTTGAACAGTCAACTTTCGTTGATCAGGACGTCATTATCCCTTGACTTTCCGTTCATGCGGACGAGATTTCTTATCCCCTGCGTCATTCTCCCCCGAATCCGGATTTGCTAGCAAAAGCGATAATGCTGCAAAAAAGACTTCCCTGTCATTTTCCCACGTCTTCACTCCCCCTCACCCTTAAAACAAATATAAGAGAAAGTACTCATGTCTTCTTTGATCTCCCCTCCTTTCCTGGAATCAGGTAAAAGAATGCTGCTCCATTGAGACATTCCCCCTTAACTGTCATCTCACTCTTCCTATCAGTCTCATCCGTCGTTACCACTAGTGCACAAGAGTTCCTTACAAAGCGAGTCTGAGCGCACAGTACCCCTCGCATTCCTTGAGTAGGCACATTTGTCTATATTTGGCATCGGATATAGGTTTAAGGGTAGGGGTGGCTATCATTCAAGGTGCCCTTCAGTCATTCTGCGATTGACATTCAGTGCGCTCACACAGACTTGAGTAGTGCTGTTATTTCAATAGTTTCCGGTTTTCTTTATATTTTAGTTTTATGGTATAGTTCTAGTTCTGATTAGATAACTCAGCGTTTTTGCATTGTATTTTTATTATTTATTTAAATTAGTTTCATAATCAACTTGGAACTCTTGGATTCACAGTTATTTCCAGGACAACGAAGAGATACTCCTACCGATAATCATTTGCATGGAGGACGTAAGGATAGGGCGATTGAATTGTCGCCAATGTTCTCCCGCGACATATGGAAAATGCCCGTGGAAAATGGTTTACGATGAATACGGTTTGCGATGAGTTTGGCCTGCGATGAATTGACGGTAGACAGGTAGGAAGGAGGGTGTGGGGTACCGTTGTTCTTAGGTATTATTGAAATAACGCCTAGCAAAACTGCTACTGTTGTCAGCGCAAAAACATTGATGGGGCCGACAGACATTGTCGAATGATTGATTGCTTGTTTCCATGAGCATCTTTCACTCTCACAAAGTTAATGCTGTCAATCGCACACCTCTAAGGAGGAAAACCTGTTGGCATGCACACATGCCACTCCATTCCTGCAATACCAATGAGGATGAACCTATTTGCCTTCCTCCCTTTACCCATCGGAGGTGCAGCTTGGACAACAAGTCAAAGGATTCCCAAATTGCCACGAAACTTTGTCGTCGATCCGAAGAGGTTAGTGCATGTCCTGAAAAAACAAGCATGAAACTTAAATTTGATGCGACCCTTAAGAAATTTAGGAATGCATAAAAGAAACGGCAACATCATATATTTTACAAAAACTTGAATCTCACGTTCTATATTCAAGCACATCAACATACAGTATATAAGTCACGTAATAGGAAGCAATAGAACCGTAATGTTGTCCTTCCAGTAAATCAAATAATTGTGCCAAATATTCTATGGTGAGGGGTTCCTCATTCCCACATTTGGTCATCCGCAGATTAACCAGAATTTGATCATCGCCATCTCCGTGCATGCTGAACTCCGTCTGTCTGCTTCTTGACCTATTTATTGCTTAGTACATTAGTTCAAGTTGCTATGTCGTGAGACAGTTTGAGCCAATATGTCGTCACCTCAGTTCAACAAGGTTATATCTGAAATTTTAGAAAACGAAACGACATTTCGGGTCGGCCGAATGGCCCCTGACGAAACCAGTCGGACGGCGTCGATAATATAGCCAATTGCGTATCATGTCCTTTGTAGCTCTCTTCTGCCTGAAGCCCCTCATACACCTGGCACTTTGTAAAAGCACTTTACTTATATAATTTATTAATATATATATCATACAAATTCATTTATATGCCTAGGTATAATGTAATAAAATTATTGGGGAAAAGTTAAAAAGTATCTGTAAATGATTTTCAATCTCGTCCTGTTTTAATACCTTGAATTAAGCAAAACACCTTAAAGACACTGCAATAAAAACTCGGATGGATAACGGAATCATTATCAAGTACGTCTAAATATAATATAGGCGTCGATTATATATGCCAAATAAAGGCATTAGTTTCAGTAAAGTGAAAATTGACTATCCACTCACTCATCTTCCTCACGCTATTAAGAAAATATTATCACTTTCCCATGGAATGAGAATAACAATTAAGCTTTCGGAGATCGATGAGGCCATCACTACACTTCTTGATTAAACACATGAAGCCCAGTGAAAAGGACGAAATTGAGCCGCCACGGTTCCCATGGATAGTCAGGGTTCACATCTCGTGTCGTGTCTGAATTCATCAGCAACATGCGTTTGTGCATGAGGAAAAGGAACCTTGAGGGCAACAGGGGTTTTCGAGATTTAGGATTTTTAATTTTGTAAAGGAAGAAGCCAAGCACCTGGCCAATCTCCCCCAAATTCTATTACGTTGCAGCACTTCCTCTCCTCTAAACCTGAGTGGAAAATATGGATTCATTTTATTCGCCCCCATGGCTTCAAGCCAGTGCATCTCTTGTCTCTCTACTTCAATCCATTCACTTCTATGATCGACCAGAAGTACCCATACCCGGTAAGGAACTAGATTTGGAAGAAACGTTCTCAAGTTCCAACCTCGATGAGCCATCGGCAAAAAAAGAAGAAAATGGGACAGTGCTCGATGTGCTCGATGGACAGAACAAGCAGGGGCACGAAACTCACTCTAAGCTTTCATAACTGAAGCGAGTGTCGCTCGCATTCACGGTGCGAAAACGCCTTGCATAAGATTTCGTGGCAGTGCCAAATTTTCAAGTGGCAACGGTGATTTTTTTTGCCACNCAGGCTGCCTGACAAATTTCTAGGATAGGATCCTTCGCTGTCCCTTCTCTTTTTAACTTCCTTCAGCCTTGCCCCATACTTGCAGGCTGTCTCTAATAATTCGGACTCTCATCTCTAAGTCCCATGCTTCTGGGTCCAAAGGCTGGGCATTTTCTGTTGCCCTTGGGTAGTTTCAGACAATTTCGGCACCAAATAACTTCTTTTACTCTCTCTCTCTCTCTCTCTCTCTCTATATATATATATATATATATATATACATAATGATAAGTGAGCAAGAATAAATAAATAAACCATGTTTGGTGACGAAACTCACTTTTGAGCGCCCATTCGGAAATGCCATCTATTCGGTTGAGTTCATCGAAGAGAGCCCCGGTGTGATTGCTGCAGAGGTCAGTCACGTTCCCCCCACCGGTGGGGTAAAAGCCCTGGAAGAGATCCCCCAGGTCAAAACCACCCGAGGAGGACGCATGGTGGAGGAGGAGGGGAAGGAGGAGACACGGGAGGAAGGAGAACATTTTCCACCGCTCACATCCGACGACTCCAGTGATGGGCTGCAGTTCCATCACTCCAGAGAGAGAGCAGGTAATCGTTATCTACGAGTGGATGGAAAAGCATGGGATTCCCAACGACTTCCCACGTTCGAGAGCAGATTGCTGACCTTGTCAGACTCACTGCGATGTTGGAGCCTTGACGACTGAACTTTGTCGTTTTGATTGGAACTCATACGTTCATCGGGTGATGTAGCGATTCCCTATTCGAATCCTCGGAAGTTCAATTGTTTGAATTTCATGGAAAGGTGACCTAAAAGTGATGTCAGTCGAATGCATTTGCTAATGGATATTATGCGTCCATGTCATGGCCGAAGTGAGTTTAGTTAGACACCGACTACATTGCTAAATTATTAGGACAAGCCTCCCCCCGCCGATAACAAATTATCCCAGAGGTCATGTGGTAGAGGACATTACTGCAGTCCAAAAGAATATTACAATTGCAGAAATCTGTGGCAGTCGGCGAATGGACGGGATTGGAATGGAGCTGACGGAGTTTGAATATGGAATGATGGTTTCTTGTTATATCGTCCCAAGTCCTTTGACAATGTAGTGAAAATTTATTTAAATCTTCCCAAGCTTTTTAAACAGTTCGTTAGGCTGAAATAAATGTTTTTATGGATATTTTTTGCAGGAATGCATCTAGTGGAAATTAATACGGACCATGAGAGATGCATGCAAAATAGATGCATCGCTTGTTTTCCTAATGTTTTCCTAATAAGAGTGTTATAATTATGTGTAGTTTAATTTTTTTTCTTAAGTCTCCATAATGGATAGAAATATTAATTACTAGTCCATTTTCACTTCCAGCGCAGTTTCATTAGCATTTATGGGTTGGAAGGAGGGGTACGATTTTTTCGCATGTCCATTTCGCATTTTTTAATCTTGCAATCCTTCATGATTTTCCATTCCATTCTTTTCATTTGATAATTCTGTTTAAGAACTCAATCGGATGAGCAATGTCCCGCAACTGAGTGCTTCCAGGGCAGTGTTTCCAAAAACAATTGATCTACATTTGTCGATCCGTTATCTCCTGTTCCCTCCTCATCACTCCGAGAGAATTCGAACAGCTTTGAACAGTCGCGCGATTCTCGTTGCCGTCCCGTGATTCGCTTGCGCATCAAGCTCATGGTCATCTGTCCTGTGCAATTTTTTTTTTGGAAAAGGCGCAAAATACGGAAATTACTTTCAAGAAAACTCGATGCATTCCTCGTAGTTCCCCAACGCCCAGATGTTCCCCGTGAGGATCCCGGACGGCATTTTCCTGGTCGCGTCCACCACTGGCAATCATTCATACAATGTCAACGTCTCAATTGCCAAGTTCAGTCTTTCAAAAATTGCAAAATTAAAAATCTCCATCTCCCTAAATTCATTCGTGTAAGAACCCAAATAGCATGGGATTATCTCTGGGACATCCCATTTGGATCCTACGTGAGACAGAATGACATCTCATGCATGATATTATGGAATCTACCTGGGATGTGGAAATCCCTGCAACATCCTTAGAACATCCCATTAGGTATATATATACAAGAATTATTTAAAGAAACAAATATAATGTAAGTAAATGATAAGTGAGCAATAATACATAAATAAATCACCTTTGGTAACGCAACTCACTTTTGAGCGCCCATTCGGAAATGCTATCTATTCGGTTCAGTTCATCGAAAAGAACCCCGGTTTGGTTGCTGCAGAGGTCAGTCACATTCCCCCCACCCGTGGGGTAAAAGCCCTGGAAGAGATTCCCCAGATGAAAACCATCCGAGGAGGACGCCTGGTGGAGGATGGGGAGGAGGAGACATGGGAAGAATAAGAGCATTTTCCACCGCTCACGTCCGACGACTCCAGTGATGGGCTGCAGTTTCATCATGAGAGAGAGAGAGAGAGAAAGAACAGGTAATCGTTATCTACAGGTGGATGGGAAACGGGTATCCCAACGCCTTATCGCGTTCGAGAGCATATGGCTGACTGTCAGACTCCCTGCGATGTACGATCCGTTTGGAGCCTTGACGACTTAACTTCATTTTGACTGGGCTTCATGCGTTCATTAGGTGATATATTCAATTGTTCAATTGTTGGAATTCCATGGGAAAGTTACATAAATGTTGATGTACATGGCATGGTTTATGTATATTATGCGTCCGTGTCATAGCCGAAGAGATTTTGTCGTGACATGCTTGGGACGATCAATAGTTTCCGCACAGCATTTTTGGGTTCACATAAGCTGCAAGGCCTGTTCTATTCCTCAAATATTCCCTTTGCACTACTCCCATATGGAACGAAGGAACAGTGAAAGGAATGGCCGCAATTTTCATTTCATCTATCAAGGGAGTTCAAATCTCAGTCGTCCAAAAGGTCATGCTTAATTATTTTTCGCGCCTGTTGCATAACAATTCTCGCCCACATACGGCTTCCAAGGTTCCACAGCTCATCGTCCGCTTTCAGTGGACTGTAATGACCCGCCCACCTTATATTCTAGATCTTGTACCTTTGGATTTTCATTTATTTGTATCAATGAACACATCTTCGAGCCCTGGTGTGATCGAGCCGCAACAGGTCATGCTGCTTTGAACCCTTGTCACTCGTTTAAAAGTCAGAATTATTGCAACGTGCGGTGATCGATTGCTACTGCTCATGTCCACCAGGTAGTGCGCTTGGCGTTACTGTGCGCCACTCCAATGCACCTTTCCCCACACGCTCTTGCTGCTGCCGCCGAAACACCAGAAATAGAGCCCATTCGGTCTCTGCATCTGACGTCTGGGGAGGCAGTTGGGAGTACTTTTCGCCGATCACCCATGCAAACTCAACAAGGGTTCCCTCATCGCGAAGGGCGTCTCACCTCACCCGTTTTCAACGCGTGAGGTTCTCTGCCTCGTTCTCAGATTCGTCCGTATCCGAAGTTTGCTGACCACTAGATGATGATCGGTGTTCAATTCAGCCCCACGCCGCACCCTCGTATCCGTCACAAGGCCCCACAAGTCCGCCGCAACGATCACGTAATCGATCGGCGATTGCTGGCACACAGTACCAGTCCGACTATCAGACCCCCTATGCCAGGTAAACTTGTGGATACCCTTGTGCTGAATAGCGTTGGTGATGCTCAGGCTATTGCCTGCACAAAAGTCTGCCACTCCCGTTTAGCGTGGCTTCCCCAAATCGACCGAGCACTCCACTCCATGGAGCATCGTTTCTTTCGTGCATTGAAGTCCCCTATCAGCACAACCCAGGCGCCACTCGGAATCCTCTCTAAGGTTCCATCCACCCCTCAAAGAACGCATCATAATCTGACTCGCTGCCCGTTGACCTGAGGCCGTAATCTATTACGTTCTTAAGTGCGATTTTCCTCTTAGCTTGATGCTTAGCTGGTATTTGCCTCTTTCAAAATGCATGGCCGAGGTTGAGCGATTAGCTTTAACGAAGTTTAGGATTTTAATAGAATGCGATTCCTGAATGACGGTCAAGACTCCGACTAGCTCCAGTCTGAGGCGGTTCAGAGCGACTCGCTCGCTGATTGGGTTTTATTCAATGACGCTGTCGGCCTGTTGGGGACTAATGACTTCTCACTCCCGCATGAGCAAACACGGTTGAGTCGATTCCATTCCAGAAGAGGGTCCATCCATGGTCAATAGTATTTGAACCGGTGCCTTTCCTCTTGGTCCTCAATGGTTCGCGCGTCCACGTCGCGAGGATGGACCCCAGTAAAGCGGAAGGCCGTAGTATCTCAGTTACAGAGGCAGGGTCCATCCATGGCCAATAGTATTTGAACCGGTGCCTTTCCTCTTGGTCCTCAATGGTTCGCGCGTCCACGTCGCGAGGATGGACCCCAGTAAAGCGGAAGGCCGTAGTATCTCAGTTACAGAGGCTTCCGTTGAGGGTGATCAAGACGAACCAAAACCGGCACGATGAGTTCGGCTTGGGTATTCCATTCTGGCTCTGTCGCCGCCCAGGATAATCAGGACTTCCATAGTCACTGTGCTCCCAGGGTGACTATTGATAACTTGGCTACTGGGACCGGGCAATCCGATATTTCTGGGTGCGTCGAACCCCGTCATGCTACTTCATGCTTGCCACCAGCCATAGCGTATTTTCCCGCGATGCCTCAAGGGCACACCTGAAAACGACCTTCACAACGGGCTCTGAACATCGGGACTTTGAATGTGCTATGATTGATCAGGGTTATATACAATAATTTGCAGGATCGACGACCTATTCCATTTGATTTACACGTCTGATTGTTTTAAGGAAGCCACTCAACGATTTTTAATTAAAGCTGCGGAAAGGATAGTAGGACGCAGTTGATGCTTTACAGAGCAGTTCATGAACCCGAACAAATTATTTTCCGAAGCCGCCAGAAAGCGAATCGTATATCAAGGGTTCACGCATCGGTCGCTTGTGCAAGTGGAAGTACTTCATGAGATCTTCAGAGATGACAAGTGGCAAAAAAAATCACCGTTGCCACTTGAAAATTTGGCACTGCCACGAAATCTTATGCAAGGCGTTTTCGCACCGTGAATGCGAGCGACACTCGCTTCAGTTATGAAAGCTTAGAGTGAGTTTCGTGCCCCTGCTTGTTCTGTCCATCGAGCACATCGAGCACTGTCCCATTTTCTTCTTTTTTGCCGATGGCTCATCGAGGTTGGAACTTGAGAACATTTCTTCAGTTTCTTCCAAATCTAGTTCCTTACCGCCATACCCATGAAGACCAGCTAGTATCTTCACTTACCTAACTTCATCTCTCTGTTCTCTACGTGACCGAACTTCGGTACCCCCGCTTATTTTACTTAGGTATAAAAGGTGAGTCCAAATCTCCTCTCAAGTGCTGCAACGTAATAGAATTTGGGGGAGATCGGCCAGGTGCTTGGCTTCTTCCTTTACACAGTTAAAATCCCTATATCTCGAAAACCCCTGTTGCCCTCAAGGTCCCTTTTCCTCATGCACAAACGCATGTTGCTGATGAATTCAGACACGACACGAGATGTGAACCCTGACTATCCATGGGAACCGTGGCGGCTCAATTTCGTCCATTTCACTGGGCTTTATGTGTTTAATCAAGAAATGTAGTGATGGCCTCATCGATCTCCGAAAGCTTAATTGTTATTCTCATTCCATGGGAAAGTTATAATATTTTCTTAGTAGCGTGAGGAAGGTGAGTGAGTGGATAGTCAATTTTCACATTACTGAAACGTAGACTTTTGAGTCCCAGTCTATATTCACGTAGACAACAGTTCCCCCACCTCTTCTTTTTTTGGGGTGTCGTCTGTCTGCTCTGAAGGGGGGTGAAAATCCATTGATGCTTGCTGCTTCGTCTGGCATGAGACGATCAAACCAGGATTCTTGTATGCATATGACACTGACATTCTTGAACGATGGTCTTTGAGTTAGCTCGTGTAGCACATCCAATTTTGGAAACAGACTTTGAGCATTTGCCACGAAGAGTATAGGGGATTTGAATCGCTTCGGATCGCAGATTTCTAGTTTCTTGAGAAGTTTCTATTACAATTTAGAATCGCGAGAATCGGTTCAGGAACTTTTTCATGAATCCTTTTATAGTACATCACCAATTAATTGACAGAGAGGTAGGTCCTCACAAAGCTACAGCCCACCAACCCAGGGAATTCACTAACAAGCATAATCGAATGTGCGTCTTGTAAAATGCCAGGCAGAAGAAGGCTACAAGGGAGACAGACTTTGTCCTAGCGTCAATAAGTAGCACTAATCTAGATGAGCCTTCGGCGAAGAAAAAGAAAGTGGGACGGTGCTCGATGTGCCAGAAGACTGGACACCAGAAGCGGTAGCATGAAACGCACTCTAAGCTTTCCCAAGTAACGCCTGTTGTGATGTTTTTGCCCCCCAAGGTCCCTTTTCTTATCCACTAACATACGTTCTTGGCCAGGAAAAAGCAATTTGGAAAACCATGTTCATAATTCGTAGATAGTATTTGAGGAATCTTACCTGCTCTCTCTCAAATTATGAAACTGAAGTCCATCACTGGAGTCGTCGGACGTGAGCGATGGAAAATGTTATTCTTCCTCTTCCATAACTCCTCCTTCTCCTCTTCCTCCATCAGGCGTCCTCCTCGGATGGTTTTGATCTGGGGGATCTCTTCCAGGGCTTTTACCCCACGGGTGGGGGGAATGTGACTGACCTTTGCAGCAACCACACCGGGGCTTTCTTCGATGAACTCAACCGAAACAGGCGTCCTCCTCGGATGGTTTTGATCTGGGGGATCTCTTCCAGGGCTTTTACCCCACGGGTGGGGGGAATGTGACTGACCTTTGCAGCAACCACACCGGGGCTTTCTTCGATGAACTCAACCGAATAGATAGCATTTCCGAATGGGCGCTCAAAAGTGAGTTGCGTTACTAATCGTGATTCATTTATTTATTATTGGTCACTTATCATTTACTTATATTATATTTGTTTCTTTAAATAATTATGTATATATTGTATATACCTAATGGGATGTTCTCTGGATGTTCAAGGGATTTCCACATCCCAGGACGATTCCATAATATCATCCATGAGATGTCATTCTGTCTCACATAGGATCCAAATGGGATATCCCAGAGATAATCCCATGCTATTTGGTTTCTTACACGAATGAATTTAGGGAGGTGGAGATTTTTAATTTTGCAATTTTTGAAAGACTTAACTTGGCAATTGAGTGACATTGTGTGAATGATTCCCAGTGGTGGACGCGACCGGGAAAATGCCGTCGGGGATCCTCACGGGGAACATCTGGGCGTTGGGGAACTACGAGGAATGCATCGGGACCCGGGCGAGGCTCAACGAGACCCTCTACGCGGACGTGGAACGGCTGGATTTCGCGGGAAAGTACTGCGTCGTCACCTTCATGGCCGTGTAAGGGCAAAAAGGGCAATCAGGTTCACAAGGCCTAAAAAAGATGCCTTGGAGTTGGGTTCACTCCATCATGATTCATTTGCAATCAAACAAATGAAATGCAATCAGTATGTTTTTTTGTTGTTGAGAAACTGAGACGAACGGAGAAAAATAAGGATAGAGAAATCCACTTGAGGGGATTGGTGGCTCTGTTCCCGTGCGTCGCATCTGCGACGGAGGACACAAGAGATAAAAACTATAAGGAGTGCTCGACGACGAGTACAGACTCGCATTATCCAATATCACTGGAAGGAATTCGCCCGGTACTCAAAATGTATTCATTGCGTGTTTCATTCACAGTACTCGAGACAACGTGCTCCCAGTATACAACGTGTTGCATTAATTTTAGGGTCATTATCGAACTAGAAACGTGGTAATTGTACCTATTTACCTGCCGTGAAGGAAGGAGTAGGACATCTCGTAAGAATGATGATATTATGTTGTGCATGGCATGCATGCAGAGATATGAATGAATTGTGATCGTATTCAATGCGGGCGTATGGCAGACTGGTGGCTATGGAGAAATACCTTCGAGGCCCATGAACCTTTTCAATAAACATGAAGTACAGCTGACGGCTGTCCCAAAAGCTACAACCAAGAAAATTTGTGTGATCTCTTTATAGCAATAGAGCATGAAAAAATGAATAGAACAATTTTTTTAACCTACTAATAGTTGAAGTTCTGGAGCCTAAAGTATCAATCAAGAAGCATGGAATGCAACAAACGAAGTTCCTCTCCAACACCAGGATTCAGAGCGAAAATTTGCAATGGGAAATTCGTTCTTAAAAACTCTTTAGAAAATAAGTGAAAGAAAAACTTACGCGTCCAATCCACCCCTAGAAGCCAACAGCTAGGAAACGCTCAATTTCCATCAGTCCCCCAGAAGGCAAGGAGGTTCGGAGCGACCAACTGGTGAATGGTCTGGCATCACTCGGGATCTATGGAGTGCCGTTCCTCGCGGAGGGGATCTGCCTCCCATCGTCCTGTTCCGATGCAGACGTTCAGGTATGTAGATGAGTACTGAGGTTCAATTGAAAGCATCAGCATTTTTTTCTTCATTATTTTGAGCACATTATATACGATGCGATCCTATAGAATTCTTTGTCGGCCAACTTCGAAGGAACGATTCAGGCGGGGATAGTGGGTTGTCAGGACGATAGCGTCCCTCCTCTTACCACTTCGGGGATCATCCTCGTGTGAGTGGTTGCAATGATCAGAGGTGGTGGATACCCATGAGGATTCTATTCAAATCTGTTCCCTTTTTCACGCAGTGTGGTGCTGTCTCTGTGCGGCGTTTACTTCCTAATCGGCCCGATCTGGGATCTTAGGTTTCGGAGTAACAAGAAGAAACCTGGTTCCACATTATTTCCTTCCGTTCTTTTGGACATTAAGACTCTTTAAATACTTTTCTAATTAATTCTTGAAATTTTTTTTATCAGAGACATTCACGGACAGGCTGCTCGTGACGGGTTCTTTATACACCAACGGGGAGAAGCTTCTCTCAACGAAACAAGGCTCTGATGTCATCGGCAGCCTTCACGGAATTAGGTATTTTTTTACTCTCACCTCCAAACAATTCCGAAAGAGAAAAATCGAAAATGTTCACAGGTTCGTCACCATGACGTGGGTCGTCCTGGGGCACACCTACTCCATAATGACTGCCGGTGCTCCTATCATCAATCCGATGGTGTTCGATGAAGTAATTCATGTCCTTCTGTTCATAGGAAGGGAAATATGAGAACGTGTTGTGCATTTCGTCTCTTTTTCTGTCCAGATGACGAAAGGTTTTTTTTTCAACGCTATATTGAATGCTACGCCGTCGGTGGACACGTTCTTCTTCATGAGTGGACTCCTCGTCTCCTATCTCCTCCTCAAGGAACTTCAAAGGAACAAAGGGAAATTCAACATCATCAAGTTCTATATTCATCGATACATCAGGTAGATCACATTTACCTTCATATTGACTGGCTGTCTATTAATTGGAGGAGGATGGTTGTAGATGGTGGAGTAAAGGTTACAGATGGGAGTTAGTGGAGGGATAAATAGGGTAGGAAAGAATTGGGGACCTAGATTCCTATGCAGCGAAAGTAAAATAAGGAAAATTAGATGCTTAATCTCTATGGATGGAGACACTGAAGGAGCTTGCAACTCTTCCATTTCAGGTCACATTTCAAATTCATTTGTTCCAAGACATTTTTTAAATGTTTATCTTTGAGTCTTTTTTTCTCTGATGTGTGGAATAATACTGGAGAGATTGGGTTTACAGGCTCACGCCGATCTACGCGATGGTGCTTTGGTTCTCCATCGAACTCTTCCAATATACGTTCTCGGGCCCTTTGCACAAATTCGTCACAGACGCCTTGACCGAGCCCTGCCGGGACCAATGGTGGAAGAACCTCCTCTACATCAACAACATGTTCGAGGCGAACGAAGGGATGGTCAGGGCGCTCTTTTCCTTGCTTTGTAAATTAGCAGGCGGTAACCTCGGTGGCAGTACTAGGTTGGCCAAAAAGTTCCGCAACACTTGCGAAAAAGCTGATTTTTATGCACAAATTTATTTAAAAACAATAACAACTACTCTTCAAAATAAAGGCCATCGTTTTCCACCAATCTTTTGCCACCGATCTGCCAGCATCCGGATTTGATTGAAGTACCATTCTGCCGGCCTCGAATCGAAGAACTCCTGGCACGCTTCCTCAACTTGATCAAATGACTCGAATCGGCGACCACGCACAAAGTGCTCCATTGATCGAAAGAGGCCGTAATCGGAAAGCGCAGCGTCGGGACTGTAGGCTGGGTGCGGCAAGACCTTGAGTTCCTCCAGTTCGTCAAATTTCTCCTTTGTTTTTTTGGCGGTGTTGGGTTTAGCGTTGTCTTGCTGGAACAAAGCGCGTTTGCGACGAACGAGGGTCGGGTACTTCTCCTTCAGCTTGTCATAGACACGGTAAAGTTGTTTGCAGTAGAGTTCGGCGTTCACGGCACAGCCATTCTGAACCAGTTCAAAGTGAAGCACGCCCTCAAAGTTCCACCAGACGCAAATCATCACCTTCTTGCCGAAACGATCTTGACGCGGAACTGATGGCGGATCTTGACCTCGCGGAACCCACTGCTTCTGCCGGTTGTGATTGACCAAGTAGAAGCCTCTGTAACTGAGATACTACGGCCTTCCGCTTTACTGGGGTCCATCCTCGCGACGTGGACGCGCGAACCATTGAGGACCAAGAGGAAAGGCACCGGTTCAAATACTATTGGCCATGGATGGACCCGCTTCTGGAATGGAATCGACTCAACCGTGTTTGCTCATGCGGGAGTGAAAAGTCATTAGTCCCCAACAGGCCGACAGCGTCATTGAATAGAACCCAATCAGCGAGCGAGTCGCTCTGAACCGCCTCGGACTGGAGCGAGTCGGAGTCTTGACCGTCGTTCAGGAATCGCATTCTATTAAAATCCTTAACTTCGTTAAAGCTAATCGCTCAACCTCGGCTATACATTTTGAATGAGGCAAATACCAGCTAAGCATCAAGCTAAGAGGAAAATCGCACTTAAGAACGTAATAGAATACGGCCTCAGGTCAACGGGCAGCGAGTCAGATTATGATACGTTCTTTGAGGGGTGGATGGAACTTTAGAGAGGATTCCGAGTGGCGCCTGGGTTGTGCTGATGGGGAGACTTCAATGCACGAAAGAGACGATGCTCCATGGAATGAAGTGATCGGTCGATTTGGGGGAAGCCACGCTTAACGGGAGTGGCAGACATTTGTGCTGGCAATAGCCTGACCATCACCAACGCTATTCAGCACAAGGGTATCCACAAGCTTACCTGGCACAGGGGTCTGATAGTCGGACTGGTACTGTGTGCCAGCAATCACCGATCGATTACGTGATCGTTGCGGCGGACTTGTGGGGCCTTGTGACGGATACGAGGGTGCGGCGTGGGGCTGAATTGAACACCGATCATCATCTAGTGGTCAGCAAATTTCGGATACGGACGAATCTGAGAACGAGGCAGAGAACCTCACGCGTTGAAAACGGGTGAGGTGAGACGCCCTTCGCGATGAGGGAACCCTTGTCGAGTTTACATGGGTGATCGGCGAAAAGTACGCCCAACTGCCTCCCCAGACGTCAGATGCAGAGACCGAATGGGCTCTATTTCTGGTGTTTCGGCGGCAGCAGCAAGAGCGTGTGGGGAAAGGTGCATCGGAGTGGCGCACAGTAACGCCAAACGCACTCCCTGGTAGACATCAGCAGTAGCAATCGATAACCGCACGTTGCAATAATTGTGACTTTTAAACGAGTGACAAGGGTTCAAAGCAGCATGACCTGTTGGGGCTCGATCACACCCGAGCTCTCTTCAATGAACTGAACCTTCAATAATATACCAGGGGCGATCAATAAGTTTCCACACAACATATTTTTAAATGTACTAATGGTGGGATGTAAAATATAAAAAAAATATATATATATACATAAGCAGGCAAGCCTGTTCTATTTCTCAAAATATTCCCCATTCACATCGTTACACTTCTATACTCTGGAGGGGAGGGAGTATATGCCCCTCGATGGAAATCTTATCTTGTTGAAGAAGCTACACAGTCGCAACTTTCTGAAGGTCTTCTTTTCCAGAAAAATGCACTCCTCGAAGATGTGCTCATTGATACAAATAAATGAAAATCCGAAGGTGCAAGATCTAGAATATAAGGTGGGCGGGTCATTACAATCCACTGAAAGCGGACAATGAGCTGTGGAACCTTGGAAGCCGCATGTGGGCGAAAATTGTTATGCAACAGGCGCGAAAAAAAATTAAGTATGACCTTTTGGACGATTGAGATTTGAACTCCCTTGATAGATGAGATGAAAATTGCGGCCATTCCTTTTATTGTTCTTTCGTTCCACGTGGGAGTAGTGCAAAGGGAATATTTGAGGAATAGAACAGGCCTCGAAGCTTATGTGAACCCAAAAATGATGTGCGAAAACTATTGATCGTCACATGTCACGACAAAATCGCTTCGGCTATGACACGAACGCATAATATACATAAGCCATTCATTCAACTAACATCAACATTTATGTAACTTTCCCATGGAATTCCAACAATTGAACAGTTGAATACATCACCTAATGAACGCATGAAGCCCAGTGAAAATGAAGTTCAGTCGTCAAGGCTCCAAACGTATCGTACATCGCAAGGAATCTGAAACGGTCAGCAATATGATCTCGAAAGGAAAAGTCGTTGGGATACCCGTTTCCCATCCACCTGTAGATAACGATTACCTGCTCTCTCTCTCTCGAATGATGAAACTGCAGCCCATCACTGGAAGCGAGCGGAAGTGAGCGGTGGAAAATGCTCTCATTCTTCCCATGTCTCCTCCTTCCCCTTCTCCTCCACCATAAATCCAAACCATTCGAGGAGGACCCTTGGATGGTTTTGATCTGGGGAATCTCTTCCAGGGATTTTACCCCACGGGTGGGGGGAATGTGACTGAACTCTGCAGCAACCACACCGGGGTTCTTTTCGATGAACTCAACCGAATAGATAGCATTTCTGAATGGGCGCTCAAAAGTGAGTTGCGTTACCTATCGTGATTTATTTATTTATTCTTGCTCACTTATCATTTACTCATATTTGTTTCTTTGAATAATTCTTGTATATATATACTTAATGGGATGTTCTCTGGATGTTGCAGGGATTTCCACATCCCAGGACGATTCGTAATATCATGCATGAGATGTCATTCTGTCTCACGTAGGATCCAAATGGGATGTCCCAGAGATAATCCCATGCTATTTGGGTTCTTACACGAATGAATTTAGGGAGATGGAGATTTTTAATTTTGCAAATGCATGAGATGTCATTCTGTCTCACGTAGGATCCAAATGGGATGTCCCAGAGATAATCCCATGCTATTTGGGTTCTTACACGAATGAATTTAGGGAGATGGAGATTTTTAATTTTCCAATTTTTGAATGTCTTAACTTGGCAATTGAGACGTTGACGTTGTATGAATGATTGCCAGTGGTGGACGGGACCAGGAAAATGCCGTCTGGGATCCTCACGGGGAACATCTGGGCGTTGGGGAACTACTAGGAATGCATCGAGTTTTCTCGCACTTAAGTTAAAACAGTGTTGAACTGTGGTGACGACATATTGGCTCAAACTGTCTCACGACATAGCAACTTGAACTAACATACTAAGCAATACATAGGTCAAGAAGCAGTCAGACGGAGTTCATCATGCACGGAGATGGCGATGATCAAATAAATTAAAAAAATAAAATGCAAAAACGCTGAGTTATCCAATCAGAACTAGAACTATACCATAAAACTAAAGTATAAAGAAAACCGGAAACTATTGAAATAACAGCACTACTCCAGTCTGTGTGAGCGCACTGAATGTCAGTCGTAGAATGACTGAAGGGCACCTTGAATGATAGCCACCCCTACCCTTAACCCTATCTCCAATGCCAAATATAGACAAATGTGCCTACTCAAGGAATGCGAGGGGTGCTGTGCGCTCAGACTCACTTTGTAAGGAACTCTTGGGCACTAGTGGTAACGACGGATGAGACTGATAGGAAGAGTGAGATGACAGTTAAGGGGGAATGTCTAAATGAAGCAGCATTCTTTTACCTGATTCCAGGAAAGGAGGGGAGATCAAAGAAGACTATGACGCCTTCAAAGAAGACCATGAGTACTTTCTCCTATATTTGTTTTAAGGGTGGGGGGAAGTGAAGGCATGGGAAAATGACAGGGAAGTCTTTTTTGGAGCATTATCTCTTTTGCTAGCAAATCCGGATTAGGGGAAGAATGACGCAGGGGATAAGAAATCTCGTCCACATGAACGGAAAGTCCGACATAGTGACGTCCGGATCAACGAGAGTTGACTGTTTATAGTGAAATTTTCATGCTGAAACAAAAATTAGTTCTTTCATCATAGCATGGAAAATGGTTTGCGATGAATATGGTCTGCGATGAGTTTGGCTTGCGATGAATTGAGCGCGATGAATTGGGTTGCGATGAATTGAGGGCTATGAATTGACATAGAATCCTATCTACCTCATCAGGAGTTGTCAGGACGCTTCAATGATGAAATGCCTCGAATGCAAGAGATGAAGAATGCGACCTTGGATGGTCTCATTCTATTTGGATCTAATCAGGCGGTGTATATAATCCAGAGATGGTTTACAATGCTTTAAAATGAAGTTTCCGGTTGCCGTAGGAATGCGAAAAGGCATGATGGAGATATTGATGGATTTAATACGTATGTGTATCACATCGAGAAAATTTTTTTTTCGTTTTTGTCAGCCTCTTATCAGAACTTCTCCATTGCCGGCTCTGGCTTGATTTCGTCTTCATCCTGTGAGGACTGCGAGGTTCGTTGGCCATTGACTTCCATGGTCTCGTCTGAGGATCCTCTGGGGAGGGTTTCCTCTGAGGAGTCTCTTGGGGTGGAGTGAGAGAAGGATGAGAGAGATTTGTGCTGACTTTGACCGTCCAATGATTCGTCGTGGCCGAGTTTCTGTTTCGTGTCGGGGATGAATGCAGGGTTGTCCAAGCCGCCGTACTTTGGCTTTTCCCAAGAGACGTCGTGCACTATTATGTCTCCTTTCAGAATGCCAGTCTCTGGAGAAGCAAGATTTAGGTCGAGTACTTCTAGCTTTCCCTTTGAAAAATCGTTTCCTTTTTCACTTTCCGTCATACTGTGGGGTTTAATAGCTACCGGGAAGTTATTATGGCCTGGCTTGTTTCCTGAAAGAAAAAGCCACACTCTATTGGCGATAATATTCTTCCAAAAGCCAAAGTGGAAAGGAAAAAAACTCACCCTCTCCAAATATGAGTCCACAAAAGATCTTCTCGAGTCCCAGAACAGGTATCTCGAACGTCAAAGAGAAGATGACGGCCACGAAGTGAGTCAGGATCAGTGTGGACAAGAATACGACCACCTGAAAATGCATCTTGAATCAAACACTGACCCCAGGAACTTGAATTGTACGAAATCCTTCCCGAACCTGAGTCTCATGGTCGACGTAGACGGAAGAATCTATACCGAACTGGTACCAGCCCGCAACCAGAACGTGGACGAGGTAAGCGCTATAGGTGAGTCGGCCGAGAGGTACGAAGGCTTTCCAGCTAAGCAGAGTATTCACTGGACCTGGAAGTCTTTCAGATATTAACTAAAGCACTGAAAAATTATGCTTTTTTTCGTAAAAAAAAATTATTTTTACCTATGGTAAAGGTATTTACCAGTACGGAAATGATTCTTGGTTCAATAAATGCATCCATAACATTTTCTTTGACCGGATTAAATAGACAGAGACTCGGATAAAATTCTTCTTGGTTAAGAAGCAATCCTGATTGGGAATCTTCTCCGGTTTTGGGTTCTTTCACTTCTATTTATTCGTTTGCGTGTCACGCTTTACCACAAGATACCGATTTTCTTGGTTTTTATTTCTTTTACCCACGTACCCACGTACCTTGATACCAGCAGCTACCAAACTCTCCCAATTTTTTTCCACAACCATCGTTCGCATGAAACCTAACGTCAGCAGCAAAAAAAAAATGAAATCGCGGAATCTTACCTCCAGCCCCAATGTGGCAGGCAAGAACGACCCATGCCAACCCGACGGACCAGGCGACCCTATGCACAGCGACGTAGATGACCTGAGCCGCTCTCGGCATCGCCGGTGACAATGGTTTCATATAGTATTCCAGACCATAGATGACTGCCATGTTAGTTGCGATCGCTGCGCACCAGCCAGCGAGCCCCACAACCTAATAACGTAGATGACCTGAGCCGCTCTCGGCATCGCCGGTGACAATGGTTTCATATAGTATTCCAGACCATAGATGACTGCCATGTTAGTCGCGATCGCTGCGCACCAGCCAGCGAGCCCCACAACCTAATTAATAGAAGTTGTTTATGTGAGCTGACCGAAGTTAACCTAAGAATCGCAGTGACTTACCGTCGGAAGATGCTTCCCTCTTACCTTGGAAAGTTTTATATTCTTCCCTTTGATTCGATGCAAGATATATCCAAGAATGAGGCCGATGAGGTACGGTCCGAATCGTGTCCATGGTTTCACGTAGTATTTCATGAACATTCTCCCGTCATCGGGACTGGAATGAAGTAGGAAGATGAAAGTGTGGATGTTTCTCAGCGATCAAAAGCCTCAATGGAAAATTTATCGAGGTTTTTGCATCATCAAAGCTGTCGTAACAAATCCAAGTCCAAATTATACTGTACTTAGATCATAGAGGAGGTGCTCACTTGATTCTATCTTGGTAAGTGGATGTCCCTCCGATGTCGTTGGCGATTAGGACGACGGCCGGGACTGTGATGGACCCGGCGAGGAGGAGACCAGCAAATCCCATGCCTATGGGAGAATTTCGCATCTGATAAATTTTTCGCTTTTGTGTTTCCCCAAGGAACTTTGAGGACTGTGAAGTCCACTAACCGACGGCTGGGAAGAAGAAGAGAGGGAGGATGATCAACGGGGAGACGAGGTACATCTGGAAGTCGTTGGCCATGTACCATGTGTGTACCATGCACTGTAAGAGATGCTTCTTTTAGCCTAGACGAGCGGGACAGAGCATGTCTTACAAAATGCGCTGCACTAGATTTTCATTTAATTGTGTTTTAGGAGATACCAAAGCCAAAAGGGGGTTTTATGCTCGTTTCAACCTGAGGGTGGGGTTATGTTCAAGATGAGGTGGGCAATACGGATGGTAAGAATTCTGTGTATAATACTTCAGTATTTTGAAGTCAATTCTTACATCATAGAAATTTGTGTTTCCAGTTTTTCAGAATGAAGTTCATGTTGAAATGACTGAATTTTAAGTTCGATATGTTTCAGTGACTTTGAAACCGGCAAAAAATCCCTGCTGACTCCCGCGTTCCCTTGATTTCCGAACTTGTGTCCCTCACACCAGCCGGGTATTACATAATACTGCCACCGAGGCTATTGCCCGCTAATTTACAAAGCAAGGAAAAGAACGCTCTGACCATGCCTTCGTTCTCCTCGAACATGTTGTTGATGTAGAGGAGGTTCCTCCACCATTGGTCCCGGCAGGGCTTGGTAAAGGCGTCTGTGATGAATTTGTGCAAAGGGCCCGAGAAAGTGTACTGGAAGAGTTCGATGGAGAACCAAAGCACCATCGCGTATATCGGCGTGAGCCTGTGAACCCAATCTCTCCAGTATTATTCCACACATCAGAGAAAAAAGACTGAAAGATTAACATTTTAAAAATGTCTTGGAACAATAGAATTTGAAATATGGCCTATAATGGAAGAGTCGCAAGTTTCTTTAGTGTCTCCATCCATTGAGATTCAGCATTTAATTTTTTTACTTTTACGTTCCCTGCATAGGAATCCCGATCCCCAACCCTTTTCCACCCTGTTGATCCCTCCACTAACCCCCATCCGCAACCTTTACTCCATCCACCCTCCCTCAATTCATAGACAGACAGTCAATATGAAGGTAAACCACTAGATGGACTACATAGCTACTTATATCTTGAACTACTACAACTTAAAGGGAAACAAGGAAACCTCAAGGAACTCCTCCTCTATCCTCTGCTCCTCAGGTGAGTACTTCTTCTTGCACAGGTGGCACGGCGTAGCATTCAGTATCGCATTGAAAAAAAAACCCTTCGTCATCTAGACAGAAAAAGAGACGAAATGCACAACAGATTCCAGTATTTCTCCGACGATAAGCAGGACATGAATTACTTCATCGTACACCATCGGATTGATGACCGGAGCACCCACAGACATTATGGAGTAGGTGTGCCCCAGGACGACCCACGTCATGGTGACGAACCTGTGAACATTTCCGATTTTTTCCCTCTTGGAATTGTTGGGAGGTGAGAGTAAAATAGTACCTTATGCCGTGAAGGCTGCCGATGACATCAGAGCCTTGTTTCGTCGAGAGAAGCTTCTCCCCGTTGGTGTAAAAGGATCCCGCCACGAGCAGGCTGTCCATGAATGTCTCTGATAAAAAAATTTAAGTGTTAATTAGAAAAGTATTTAAAGAGTCTTCATGTTCATAGGAACGGAAGGAAATAATGTGGAACCAGGTTTCTTCTTGTTATTCCGAAACCTAAGATCCCAGATCGTGCCGATTAGGAAGTAAACGCCGCACAGAGAGAGCACCACACTGCGTGAAAAAGGGAACAGATTTGAATATAATCCTCATGGGTATCCACCGCCTCTGATCACTGCAACCACTCACACGAAGATGATCCCCGAAGTGGTAAGAGGAGGAACGCTATCGTCCTGACAACCCAATATCCCCGCCTGAATCGTTCCTTCGAAGTTGGCTGACAGAGAATTCTACATGTTCGAATCGTAAACAATTTTGTGAAAATAATGTAAAAAAAATAAACAAAACAGTGGATACTTTTGATTGAATCAGACAGCTCGACGGCAGACCTGAACGTCTGCGTCGGAGCAGGACGATGGGAGGCAGATCCCCTCCACGAGGAACGGCACTCCATAGATGCCGAGTGATGCCAGGCCATTCACCAATTGGTCGCTCCGAACCGCCTTGCCTTCTGGGGGACTGATGGAAATTAAGCATTTCCATGCTGTTGGCTTCTAGGGGTGGACCGGACGCGTAGGTCTTTCTTTCACTTATTTTCTAATGAGTTTTTTAAGAACGATATTTCCGTTGCAAATTTTCGCTCTGAATCGTGTTGTTGGAGAGTAACTTCAAATGTCTGTTGCATTCCATGCGTCGTGATTGATATTTTAGGCTTCAGAACTTCAACAATTATTAGGTGAAAAAAACAACTTTTTTTTTCTATTTATTTTTTCATGCTCTATTGCTATAAGGAGATCACACGAATTTTCTTGGTTGTAGCTTTTGGGACAGCTTTCAGCTGGACTTCGGCCACGAAGGTATTTCTCCATAGCCACCAGTCTGCCATAGGCCCGCATTGGATACGATCACAATTTCTTCATATCTCTGCATGCATGCCATGCTCAACATAATATCATCATTCTTACGAGATGTCCTACGCCTTCCTTCACGGCAGGTAAATGGGTACAATTACCACATTTCTAGTTTGATACTGACGATAAAATTAATACAACACGTTGTATACTGGAAGAACGTTGTCTGGAGTGCTATGAATGAAACACGCAATGAATACAATTTGAGGAAGGGACGACCTCCTTCCAGTGATATTGGATAATGCGAGTCTGTACTCGTCGTCGAGCACTCCTTAGAGTTTTTATCTCTTGTGTCCTCTGTCGCAGATGCGACGCACGGGAACAGAGCCACCAAGCCCCTCAAATGGATTTCCCTATCCTTATTTTTCTCCGTTCGTCTCAGTTTATAAAAAAAAAACATATACTGATTGCATTTCATTTGTTTGATTACAAATGATTTATGATGGAGTGAACCCAACTCCAAGGCATCTTTTTTAGGCCTTGTGAAACTGATTGCCATTTTTGCCCTTACACGGCCATGAAGGTGACGAGGCAGTACTTTCCCGCGAAGTCCAGCCGTTCCACGTCCGCGTAGAGGGTCTCGTTGAACCTCGCCCGGGTCCCGATGCATTCCTCGTAGTTCCCCAACGCCCAGATGTTCCCGGTGAGGATTCCCGACGGCATTTTCCCGGTCGCGTCCATCACTGGCAATCATTCACACAATGTCACTCAATTGACAAGTTCAGTCTTTCAAAAATTGCAAAATTAAAAATCTCCATCTCCCTAAATTCATTCTTGTAAGAAACTGAATAGCAAGGGATTATCTCTAGGACATCCCATTTGGATCCTATGTGAGACAGAATGACATCTCATGGATGATATTTTGGAACCGTCCTGTGATGTGGAAATCCCTGGAACATCCTGAGAACATCCCATTAAGTATATATATATAGAAGAATTATTTAAAGAAACAAATATAATATAAGTAAATGATAAGTGACCAATAATAAATAAATGAATCACGATTAGTAACGCAACTCACTTTTGAGCGCCCATTCGGAAATGCTATCTATTCGGTTGAGTTCATCGAAGAAAGCCCCGGTGTGGTTGCTGNTTCGGTTGAGTTCATCGAAGAAAGCCCCGGTGTGGTTGCTGCAAAGGTCAGTCACATTCCCCCCACCCGTGGGGTAAAAGCCCTGGAAGAGATCCCCCAGATCAAAACCATCCGAGGAGGACGCCTGGTGGAGGAGGAGGGGAAGGAGGAGACACGGGAGGAAGGAGAACATTTTCCACCGCTCACGTCCGACGACTCCAGTGATGGGCTGCAGTTTCATCATTCGAGAGAGAGAGAGAGAGAAAGAGCAGGTAATCGTTATCTACAGGTGGATGGGAAATGGGTATCCCAGCGCCTTATCGCGTTCGAGAGCATATTGCTGACCGTGTCAGACTCCCTGCGATGTACGATCCGTTTGGAGCCTTGACGACTTAACTTCATTTTGACTGGGCTTCATGCGTTCATTAGGTGATATATTCAATTGTTCAATTGTTTTGGAATTCCATGGGAAAGTTACATAAATTTTGATGTTAGTTGAATGCATGGCTTATGCATATTATGCGTCCGTGTCATAGCCGAAGAGATTTTGTCGTGACATGCTTGGGACGATCAATAGTTTCCGCACACCATTTTTTGGTTCACAGAAGCTGCGAGGCCTGTTTTATTCCTTAAATATTCTCTTTGCACTACTCCCAGGTGGAACGAAGGAACCTTCAAAGGAATGGCCGCAAATTTCAACTCATCGATCATGGGAGTTCAAATCTCAATCGACAAAAGGTCATGCTTAATTTTTTTTCGCGCTTGTTGCATAACAATTCTCGCCCACATACTGCTTCCAAGGTTCCACAGCTCATCGTCCGCTTTCAGTGGACTGTAATGACCTGCCCACCTTATATTCTAGATCTTGTACATTCGGATTTTCATATATTTGTATTAATGAACACATCTTCGAGGAGTGCATTTTTCTGGAAGAGAAGACTTTCAAAAAGTTGCAACTGAGTAGCTTCTTCAACAAGATAAGATTTCTATCGAGGGGCATATACTCACTCCCCTCCAGAGTGTAGAATGCAACGATGTGAACGGGGAATATTTTGAGGAATAGAACAAGCTTGCCTGCTTATATATATATATTTTTTCTTACATCCCACCATTAGTACATTAAAAAAAATGTTGAATGGAATCTTATTGATCGCCCCTGGTATATTATTGAAGGTTCAGTTCATTGAAGAGAGCCCTGGTGTGATCGAGGCAGAGGTCCATCACGTTCCCCCCGCCCATGGGATAGAAACCCGTGAGGAGCCCCAACAGGTCAATATCAAGAGAGGAGGACGCCTGATGGAGGAAGAGGGGAAGGAGGAGGTATGGAAGAGGAAGAATAACATTTTCCATCGCTCACGTCTGATGACTCTAGTGATGGACTTCAGTTTCATAATATGAGAGAGAGCAGGTAAGCGTCCTCAAATACTATCTACGAATTATGAACATGGTTTTCCAAATTGCTTTTTCCTGGTGAAGAACATATGTCAGTGGATGAGAATAGGGACCTTGGGAGCAAAAACATCACGACAGGCGTTACTTGGGAAAGCTTAGAGTGCGATTCGTGATACCGCTTGTCGTATCCAGTTTTCTGGTACATCGAGTACTTTACTTTTTTTCCGTCGAAAGCTCATCTAGATTAGTGCTTCTTATTGAAGTCAGTCTCCTTTGTAGCCTTCTTCTGCCTGGCATTTTACAAGACGGATTCCCTGGGTTGTTGGGCTGTAGCTTTGTGAGGACCTACCTCTCTGTCAATTAATTGGTGACGTACTATAAAAGGACTCATGAAAAAGGATCAGGATCCTTTTTCATGACTCCTTTTATTGATCGAGGATGGATCCAGGATCGATACTCGCGATTCCAAATGGTTTTAGGGCTCATGGTTACTAGTATAGTAAGAACATGAATTTCGCAAGCTCGGCGAGAAATGTCGTTGCTTTAGCGATCCTGATGTTTTCAAAGCTTATGCTGCTTTGAACCCTTGTCGCTCGTTTAAATGTCACAATTATTGCAACGTGCGGTTATCGATTGCTACGCAAAGGCTGGCAAATCTGCCACCGAAACTGTGAGACTGAGAATCTTATCTAGATCCTGTCAATCAATGATAACTGGAGATTTGAGCATGTGTTCCATAGCGGCACCGTTTGTTCCAAAAACTCTGCCCAACTATCAATAAAATCATCGCGCGCCGAGCGATTACGGAAAATGCTGAAGAAAAGTCAGCAATTATAGTCGAGGGTTTTCTTTCTTTCGCGATGGGGTTTCACCTAAATGTATGCACTCCTGCTTCCATATTCAGTATGCGAGGTAATCCATGCCTAATCCATTTCCTCGCTGAGCTTTAAAAAGTATTCACGAGAGGAATGGACTGCGCCCTGAATTGATCGTTTTATTCGTCGCTAAGAAATCGGAGATTAATATAATATAAAATAAGGGTGAAAAATAGCATGTAACGAAAGCAAAAAGGTTATAAAACTAAAATTTTAACTAAAAAATAAAGATTTCAAATAGGCATACCTGAAAACCCTTTTACATGTCGAAGATCAAATGACGAGGGATTGGGAGGGGGGGGGGGGGGCTAGGGAGAGGGTGTTACAAATATAGGTACGTCTCCACGGCTGCTCCTATTTTATAAAAGCTTTCGCAGGAAGCGATAATTGTCGACCAATACCCTATTACGAACTGGAATGAGTGCAAGACCACAGGACTAAGGAACAGCAGTGATTACAACTCTTTCTCTCCAAAGGCATTTTTTTTGCCTTTAGGGAGTGAAACCGGAAAAATCACGATCTCGCAATATTCTTTGTGTATTGGTTGGGAGGAAAGGGAGGGAAACAGGAGAGTCACCATCACTACTCATAAAAGATGTTGGATGCCTCGCGAGTGGAAATTCTGAAGTATTATTGAAATATCTTTGAATGCCAAATCCTTTCAAGCGAATATGGAAAAAAACTGAATTGTGGAGCAAGGGGCAAGCATGAAAAAAATTTTTTTAGGAAGTAGTGAGACAGCGGTGTGCTGGCGCCTCGCATCTCCCATGCACGGGAAGAGAAGTCTAGACAGGAAAAAAAAAAGTGAGAGAGGGTAAGAAGGATCACGTTTCGTACAGTATGCTGGCCATTTCAGGCACAACAGGGAAAAATCCTACCATTCCTACCTAATCCTACCGGTTCACCTGGAAAGGCAATATAGGTGTCATCTGGCTATTCCATCACGCCATTGCCTCTGAGGAAAGCAGCTCGTGATCGTAGACGAGGAAGGAGGCATGCAGGAGAAACGCGATCGATTGCTGCATGATGCTTCAACATGGCCTCAGTCTTGAGTCGTTCTTTGTCTGAGGAGACTCAACACATTCGCGCATGATTCGGCAGCCATTTTTCACAGCTGTCTCGAAATATATTATCCTCGTTCTGAGGATACTCGGTCCAACGGGTTGAACTAATTCCTTAACCCGATAAGGTCCTTTTTCCAAGTCTCGGAGATGCAAAGATCTTAGAAAGTGCCTTCGTTCCTTGGGAGCGAATGAGGGGAGGAAATATTGAAAGTCCCTCTGCCTATTAATTTGTATGTATCTTGATCCTTTGAGTTCTCCCCTCGTTGAGTAGGATAATTTGGATTCCTTATAAAGTTTTAAGATCCTGATTCATTAATCTCAAGCGTGTGAATTTTTGTTTCCTGTCTCCATTCTAATGCCCCCAATATTAACAACCGTGCTGAGAGACATTCATCCGCACCCATGTTCTCATAAGGAATGCCTTCAGGAGAGAGTAGAAAGGTTGGTGGCGAGCGGCGACGTGCGGAGAGGACTCTCAGGAGGGGGAAGGGAAAGCGGAGCATTAGATTTTTAAAAAGGCTTCATAGGTACAAGAAAAAAAAATCAATAGCGATAGGCTCCAGTTGAAGTCACGTCCGTCCTCTTCCCCCTTTTCACTCACACAGGCACACAATCACGAGCACGCACAAGTCTGTGCGAGGCGAGAGGGAAGTCAAAGAGGGAAGAGCTGCGCGCGAGCATTCAAGTTTTCATGCAAATCGGTGATTAAAGCCTCGCATTCTCTATTCCTTTGGAGACAGTAAGCAATCTTGGTGTCATTGGATCCGTGAAACATCCCTCTATGGGATAAGCACAAAAAATCCTACATTCTTGCCGGTGAGAAGATAAAATTGACCCGGAATAGAAGAAATGACCTAAATCGTCAAACGAGGCCGCAGGAAAAATCGATAGGCTTCTAGGATAATGGACGGATTCTCTTGAAAATATATATTAAGCTAGCTAAGAGACTTTTAAAGAGATCTACAAGAGGAAATTTTGAAATTCAGCAGCGTTTTGTATTGTCTGTCAACGTCACGACTCTTCCAAAAAAGTGGATTTTTCAGATGGATCATTGAACAGTGAGGGGGAACGGTAAGAGGAAACCATGCGTGACTCCGCAAAAAGATGAAATCCATAAACTGGAGCATGATTTTGCCGCTAGAGAATTTCTATGAGGGATGAGAGCGAAAAAACAGAAGCAGAAAACATAAAAATTCTCTGTTATGGCGCCATAGCGTCACGGCAACCACAGCTGCATGAATGTATTTTTTTTTCCATATAACATAGTATTCATATGTCTCAAGGAGAATGGTGCAAATTTGACTTTCTGCGACCAAGAGTTGGGGAGATGGAAATTTTCAAAGAGAAGCATGCAAATTTTGACTTTTGACCACAGATCATAGTCTCGGGGGTTGACCCGAGAGATTGAGCAATCGGCTACAAGGCCCTTTCTTAAGATCCCTTACAACAATTATGGAGCGGAATTTCGATCCAGGGGGGTCGATTTTCATGTTCCCATAGCACCTTCAGACGTATATTAATTATTACACAGAAAAAAAAAACATTTATTTTTGTCATGTCAGCATTTCATCAGAACTTGTCAGTTGTTGCCGGCACTTTCTTGATTTCGTCTTCATCCTGTGAGGACTGCGAGGTTCGTTGGCCATTGACTTCCATGGTCTCGTCTGAGGATCCTCTGGGGCTGGAGTGAGGAGAGGATGACTTGTTTCCTTGGTCTGAATGCTCTCCTTCGGAAGTTGATTCTCCGGTTGCCTTTCGGGTTTCCTCTGAGGAGTCTCTTGGGGTGGAGTGAGAGAAGGATGAGAGAGATTTGTGCTGACTTTGACCGTCCAATGATTCGTCGTGGCCGAGTTTCTGTTTCGTGTCGGGGATGAATGCAGGGTTAGGGTTTCCTCTGAGGAGTCTCTTGGGGTGGAGTGAGAGAAGGATGAGAGAGATTTGTGCTGACTTTGACCGTCCAATGATTCGTCGTGGCCGAGTTTCTGTTTCGTGTCGGGGATGAATGCAGGGTTCTCCAAGCCGCTGTACTTTGGCTTTTCCCAAGAGACGTCGTGCACTACTATGTCTCCTTTCAGAATGCCAGTCTCTGGAGAAGCAAGATTGAGGTCGAGTACTTCTAGCTTTCCCTTTGAAAAATCTTTTCCTTTTTCACCTTCCATCATACTGTGGGGTTTAATAGCTACCGGGAAGTTATTATGGCCTGGCTTGCTTCCTGAAAGAAAAAGCTACCCCCTTTTGGCAACAATATCGTTCTAAAAGTCAAAGGTGAAAAGAAAAAAACTCACCCTCTCCAAATATGAGTCCACAAAAGATCTTCTCGAGTCCCAGAACAGGTATCTCGAAGGTCAATGAGAAGATGACGGCCACGAAGTGAGTCAGGATCAGTGTGGACAAGAATACAATCACCTGAAAATGCATCTTGAATGAAACACTGACGCCGGGAACTTGAATTGTACGAAATCCTTCCCGAACCTGAGTCTCATGGTCGACATATACGGAAGAATCTATCCCGAACTGGTACCAGCCCGCAACCAGAACGTGGACTAGGTATGCGCTGTAGGTGAGTCGACCCAGAGGAACGAAAGCTTTCCAGCTAAGCAGAGTATTCACTGGACCTGTAAGAATCCAAGAGATTAAATGAAGAAATGAAAAATTAATCAATTTTCTGTATAATACATATTTTAATTTTTACTTTTGCATAGGTACCCGGATGGAAATGATTCTTCATTTAATCAATGCATCCATAGCATTTCCTTTGCCAGATTAAAAGGATTGAGAGCCGGATTAAATTCCGTTTTAGTTTTTTAAGCAATCCTGATTGAGAATCAATTTCGGCTTTGGGTTCTTTCACTTTTCTTTATTCATTTCCGTGTTATGCTCTATCCCAAGATTCTCCTTTTCTTGGTTTTCTTTTTCTTCCTATTACCCACGTGCGATCCTTGATACCAGCAGCTACCAGACGCTCAGAATCTTTTCTCCACAATCATCTCTCGCGAGGTCTTTCACATAAGTTGTAAAAAAAAAATCAAACCAGATTAAATCGTGGAATCTTACCTCCAGCCCCTATGTGGCAGGCGAAAACGACCCACGCCAACCCGATGGACCAGGCGACCCTATGCACAGCGGCGTAGATGACCTGAGCCGCTCTCGGCATCGCCGGTGACAACGGTTTCATATAGTATTCCAGACCGTAAATGACTGCCATGTTGGTCGCGATCGCTGCGCACCAGCCAGCGAGCACCACAACCTAATTAATAGAAAATGCATTTGCGAGCCTACAGAAATCATACTCAGAATTTGGGTGATATACCGTCAGATGATGCCTGACTCTTACCTTGGAAAGTTTGATATTTTTCCCCTTGATTCGATGGAAGATATATCCAAGAACGAGGCCGATGAGGTACGGCCCGAATCGTGTCCATGGTTTCACGTAGAATTTCCAGTACTTTTCTCCGTCATCGGGGCTGGAATGAAGCAGGAAGATGAAAGTGTGGATGTTTCTCAGCGATCAAAAGTCTCAATGGAAAATTCATCGAGGTTTTTGCATCATCAAAGCTGTCGTAACAAATCCAAGTCCAAATTATACTGTACTAATATCAGTGTTGGGCGGTAACGAAGTAAAAGTAACGCGTTACAGTAACTAATTACTTTTTTCAGTAACTTTTAAGGTAGCGAGTTACTTTTCAGGGGAGGGTAACGGAACCGGTAACTAGTTCACATGGGAAAAGTATGTGGCGTTACTTTAACGCGTTCCTTTTCTGGATGATTTACTAAAATAGCTGAAACCAACCAGCGCTTCATGGGCACATGCATCCTAATTGATGCAATATTGGGAGGAAAGACGGGGACATGAAATTGTCTTGAGAAAACATTGTTTATTCAGTGCAGGTTTCTTGGCTGTACCTGCAAAAATATTTCGATGTGCAGGTCAGAA